CCACCCGACGTACTCTTTGCCCTGTTGGCTATGCAAACCAGCAGGTCCCAGTCCACTGCATGCATGTCTGTGTGACAACATGTTTCAATTAATTTGCACAAGGGTGTAAGGGACTGCGTATCCGTGGTCAGCCTGCTGTTCAGTCGCCGTGGTTACAAACATGTCTTTTTAACTCTCCGCTCCCATTAAACAATAGATATGATGAACAGCATGGCCAATTCAAGGCTTCCTCATCCTGCCTTTCATGCGGCAGTAATAAGGCCGTTTACACAGAGACTGCGTTCTCCGGATGCCTGCGAGATTCCGATATTCATCCTCCTTTCAGCGTAACAGCAATGACAAAGGATCACACAATAAAGAAGATGACGGGTGTGAGTCACAGGCAAGATGTTACCACTGTCACTTTTACGTGGTTTACTGGGAAAATGCGTTTTAAACCTTTATTTAACTCTTTAGCTGGTAACCTAACCCAGGGGAGGGTAAACAAATGACAAGTGAAATTAAAAGCTAAAATAGCGTAGCTGAGGAATGATGTTTTATTAAATCAAAAATTCTGTATGCGTAATGTATATCGTGAAGTGATTTCCCCCCGTCTTTCATCCGAAGGGCTTTATCCCCTCGTCCTTCCCGAATTTCCTGGCCCAAAATCCCTGTCAGCTGACGGTCCGTGACGGTGAAAATGGCATCCAGTCACTGCCTGTTATAGCCAGTCACTGCCTGTTATAGCCAGTCACTGCCTGTTACCCCCACAGAGGCTAGCTTGTGTAGGCGGGCAGCCTTTGTGACTGGAGGGTGGGGGAGGGTCACCTTTTCTCCACTCGCTTGCTCCCTCCCCCCCGACCCCCTTAGGTCCTCCTTGGACCAATCTCAGGTGTCCCACGTCATCCTCTCCACACTGACAGGCGGGTGCCAAGACGTCTTTGCTACACCACGGGGGGGTCTATGACCCCTGTCACACCACCCCCTGTCTGGTGAAACTCCCCCACAGCCTTGAAGCTTTCATTTCCAGGTTGGGGTGGGGGTGTCCATCTTTATGCTGGGAACACGACGCAGCACTGGTCCTGATTGGTGAATTCGGGCTTTCCCTTTAAGAGGCGACAGCCGGGGCTTTCCCTTTAAGAGGCGACAGCCGGGGCTTTCCCTTTAAGAGGCGACAGACGGGTCAGTTACTCGCAGCTCGCATTTCAGTTCAATTTTTCCGAAAATGACAAGCCTAAGCTAACATTCATTCCCTAATCAAAGCATATTCTGCTTTATTTTGTAGACAAGTTGTATATAGCGTGGTGAGTCAGCAGTTAGTGCTACAGTCTCACACGTCCAGGGTTGTGGGTTCGAGTCTCCTGCCCAGTATGTGAGAGTGCTCTGCATGTTCTGTCTGTGTTTAAGCCATTTCCTTCCACAGCCCAAAATCATACATTGGGTGAATTGAAATCTCTAAATTGTGTTCTGCGATGAACTGGCATCCACTCCTGGCCCACTATGACCCTGCACTGGATTCATCCGTCCTTTTTCCACACCCACTTGTCCTTGGTCTTGGGGGTCTGGGGCCTGTCTGCTTTAAGGCAGGGGAATAACCCAGGATGGGGTGCCAGTCCAATTCAATTCAACTTATTTTTATATAGCGCCTTTCACCCCAGGGATGAGTGTGTGGATACGCAGTTCTGGATGATGGGCTGGAGTGTATGACCTCACATTCTGAAACATTAGCACAACCTAGTATGTTACAGAACCGCAGGCTCACAGCCACTTCCCTACAGAACCGCAGACTCACAGCCACTTCCCTCGTGAAAATGCGGGATTTGACACGGTTCGGCCGGCCCACCTTTTAATGAGGCTAATTCCAGTCCAGGAGACGGGATACATCAAACGGAGACAAAGCCGCGCCCATCAGCAGTCAAATTCCTCAGCGCTCCTGTGTCTCCGGGTAACCTGGCGTCTCCAGACAGAGACACAGGCCACCGCTTGGTCCCCGGAAGCTCCCGGAAGCTCCCGGAAGCCCCTGGAAGACCCTAGAACCCACCGGCAACAGATGATTACAAAGGCAGCTGAGTGCCAATACGCCAAACCCTGTAATCAGGGCTGACATCTGCATTAATAATTCCACACCTTCCGCAAGTCGCCATATTGCAGGCCGCTCTGGATCGGGGGGGGGTGGGGGGGACCTGGTCCCATCACTGACGAGGGGTGTGGCCTGGGGGGTGCTGGTAGATGAAAGGTGTCAGCCACACAGACGCGACGCTGTTCCAGAGTGGCTAGAGAGACACACAGGGGAAATCATGTCATTTATCAGCTCAATGCGTCCCTTTCTCCCGGTAAGACGGGGCCATTTAGTTCCTCGTCGATATTACGCCCCTGGGTCTGCTTCATTGCACGCTCAGTTTCACGCGTTACAGTTACCCGGATTCGGGAAGGGAGGCTCCTTGGCTCTGTTTATGAACCACGCCATTAATGATCTATAGAGATCCCTGACACAAGCCCAGATACCTTGGAACAGGGTTGCGGGTCGGACTGGCGAACCTCGCAGGTTGGGTATAACAACCTCGCAGCTATCATCCTTGAGAAGCCATCCTGCTTCTACCCCATGAATAGGCAGGGGAGCATGGAAAAGTCATGTGATCATTTTCGGGTTTGTTTAAAGAGATTTGTGATATGGGGAGGCGGGGCCTTCACGTCATTGGTCAGAGCCGGGTCAGCTGACACGCCTTTTCATTCACCAGTATATGAAATGGGCTTTTCACTCTCGGTCCGCTCATTGGGCCCCTGATTCCTGAAGCCATGCCCTGCCAGCGCCCTCCCCATGCCCCGGGGCCATGCCGATTCGGCGCACGTTTTCCTCGTGCTGAATCCTCCTCACCCGCTTCACTTCCTGCCAGGTCACATGACTCTGTCGGCCCGGGCCGGCTCTCACTGAAAGCGCCCCCCGCTTTATACGTTAGTTGTACGACGCTGCTCCATGGCGTCCTTTGAGCCTGCTGTCAGCTCTGGGTCACATTTCCCTCGCAGCCTGAGGGCATGAATCCCAGCCACAGCAGGCGTCTCCGCACCCGCAACAGCAACTGTTTGGTCTTCGCCTCCCCCCTCCCCCCTCCTTTTTTGTTTTATTTGCCAGTGCCTTCTCTCCATCATAATCAGGGCAGTGTACTGGGATGGGGCTGACCATAACTGAAAGCTGATTGGCCCCCGAGTGCCCCCTCCCCTGTCACTCACCAATTCAAAACATATCATTGGCTAATTATAGGGTTGGCTCCTCTATATGAATTATGGCCCCTCTTACACCCCCAACCTTAAAAAGAAATACCTCTGGCCATAATTGTCATGCACATAGACGATGGGCGGTATGTGGCTCTCTGGGTTAAAATTGGTTCAAATCCCAAGGTCAGCAGAGTGATGTCACCTTTAGCAAGGCCCCTTATCCCCCAAGTGCTCCAGGGACGGTCTGACCCTGCTTCCTCAATTGTAAGTTGCTTTGGATAAAAGGACCTGCTAAATGAATAAATGTGCACAGGGGCATGACAGACAGCTGGCAATCAGCCAATCGCACTGCAGACGTGAGTCAGGTGCTTTCTTTGTTCTCGCGCCTCGTTCCCCAAGCTGCTCGCATTCTCATTTCTGTCACTGCCATCACCAGGCTCCTCATTTTACAGTTTAATTGCAGATTAATGCCTCTTGTTCAATTTTTTTTGTTTTGTTTCTTATCAAAAAAAAAATTGATGATTGCAAGTAGCTGACAAAACGGTTTATCTTCAAAGGGCACTTTCATGCTGCGGTCCCTCCAGCTCCATTCTCTCACCAAAGCCACATTTTTGAAGCCACCAGGCCGGGAGTCCGTGAGCCTGGACTGGGAACCGAACACAAAGCATGCTGGGAGGGAGCGGCAGCTTGGGAGAGGGCCCAGAAAGGCCGACCCCAGACGTCAACGCGAGCCGGCCCCGCGTTCCGGAACGTTCCGGCTCCTCCTGGCTATCGGTGCGCGGCGGCCACCTGCCAGCTTCCCGTCTGCAGCTTCTTCTGGGGACGCGACCGAATTAGATCCCGAGGGGGCGGGTACGAGGAAGGACATGTACCAATGTCCGTGAGGTCCAGCCCCATTCCCCTCCTCATGTAGGTGTCCCCTTCCTGTCACCTGGGCCATTCTAGGAGAGGGGGCTTGATTCACACATAGGGTCAAACCTTACCATTAGCCAATGATATGTTTTGAATCAGTGAGTGACAGGGGAGGGGGCGGTCCAGGGACCAATCAGCTTTCAGCTGGGGAACTGTGCCCCCATGACCCTGCCCCTGTATTGTCTGAAACAGGTGAGTGATGGGGAGGGACTCTGGTAGCCAATCAGATTTCAGCTAGTGCCAGCAGCCCTGTGGCCACGCCCCTGTATACACCCATGCATCTATTATTTCTAGCAATCGGGCAGCGAGTCACCTTGTCTTTCCTCACTGCACCCTAGTGTGACACCAGGGGGCAGCACCTGTCTCAGCCTCGTCTGGGTGTCGACCAAAGGCATGTCCACGCCTCTCCCCTTACGGGACTCCGGGCTTATTCCGGCCTGGGGAGCCGCTCGCCCCATCTGTGTCCCCCCCCTTATTGCATGACATCATCCCGGTTCCTCTGGGAGTCCTGCAGTCTCTGCTCCCCCTGCCTCTCGGTCCCCGTATGTCCCTGTGGCGTCTGAGGCCCCCGCACCGCTCCAGTCCCGCAGCAACATTATCAAATGTGCCCCGATTGCCCACATCGTTTTCAACGGTACTTCATTTGCTTAAAAATAGCTGCGCGGTTCTGCTTTGGTGAGGCTGGCTGTGACTCAGCCGCTGAAGTGAAGTGTGTTTGAGAACGAGAGGCTGAGGTAGGTTCTGTTGGAACGGATGGACCCAAGAGCAGCGTGTACCAGGTGGCTGCTCTTGGGTCGGAGATGCAAAAAGATAATGGATAGGATCAGTCTGACTGAGGCGTGCTGTTTTTGTTTTTGTGGGAGTGGCTTCAG